TTTTTTTCATCTTTCGCCATCTGAAATTGTCAATTGAGTCCTGCATCACGCAGAAGTTTTGAAAAATTATGAATGAATAATCAAAATAAAGTAGAAAAAATTCTTAATTTTTTCAAAGAGCATTTTTAAGTTATATTCAGAATAAGTTGAATGACAGGAAATTGAGAAATGTATCTGATTTACGGTGACAGATGGCGGCCTGTCAATACAAAGAACAATTCTTTCCCTTTCTGACGAGCCTAAACTGAGCTCAATTGATCAATTTATTTCTGAGTTATGAATAATTTTAAAAAAGTCTAAAGTGTCCGCTTTCCCCCACCCTCTCCTAAATTAATCAATCAATTAATTAATTAATTAACAATTAATAACTATTAATAATACATAATTATCATTATATATTATTATTATTTATTATTATTTATACATAATTATCATTATTTATTATTATTAATCATGATTAACTATCATTAAATTATTAATAATTGATTAATTAATTAATAATTATTGGTTCGTTAGTTTTCAAACAACTCTCATGGTAAATGAAAATGATAACGACAGTGGCGCATCGGCGGTGATTATCGAACTACCCCTAAAGGAAAGGGAAGCATCAGCTGATCGCAGTTCCATCGCAGCTCGCGGTCTCTTCGTCCGGCAGGTTTCACGCGATAAAGGTCAGTGGCTGCACCTGCACACAATATCTTTACATAATTCCATCATCCGGGTAATCGGGAAGCTCCGCACTACGCAAATACCTTCGCCGGTCAAAAAATCCGGGTAAACGCCCTCGGAGTGCAGTTTATGCGGGGAAATATCCGATTTTTCTTGCGGGGAGTTGCTCCAGAACTCGTGAGCTTACATCTTCAATCAACTTTCAGTGAAAGCACTTTCTCCTCTTGCATTGGCGGTTTCTGCATTCACATTAATTCGGTTTTTAAGAATAAAATAAAAATACAGGATTTTTGAGGGGAGGGTCGTTGAGGTTAGGCTCCTAGGCACATTTTCATCGTTTTAAATGGAAAGCGTGAGGAGTAGGAATTAGAAACGGGAAGAGTGGTCCATTCTGAAGTGAAAATTTAGCAACTCGTGAATTAATTCAGTTGACAGGGAGATTTTGGTTGATTTATGAGGGGAAGGGGTGGGGTTCACCCCACGAATTGTTATTGTTTTGATCATTCTGTTTGTGGTCTTAATGTGAGCGAGAATGTGCCTATGAACTCCCCGCTCCGAAAATCCTATCGCAAAAAGGAGAAAGGATATAATCATAAAGGCATAAAGATTTTTTTTAAATTCCAATTTTACAATCGTTAATTGTTAATTAAATTGTCATTATTTACANCTATGAACTCCCCGCTCCAAAAATCCTATCGCAAAAAGGAGAAAGGATATAATCATAAAGGCATAAAGATTTTTTTTTAATTCCAATTTTACAATCGTTAATTGTTAATTAAATTGTCATTATTTACATTGTTAATTATTAATTATTATGCCGCAAACATCTTCAATCAACTTTCAGTGAAAGCACTTTCTCCTCTTGCATTGGCAGTTTCTGCATTCACATTAATTCGGTTTTTAAGAATAAAATAAAAATACAGGATTTTTGAGGGGAGGGTCGTTGAGGTTAGGCTCCTAGGCACATTTTCATCGTTTTAAATGGAAAGCGTGAGGAGTAGGAATTAGAAACGGGAAGAGTGGTCCATTCTGAAGTGAAAATTTAGCAACTCGTGAATTAATTCAGTTGACAGGCAGATTTTGGTTGATTTATGAGGGGAAGGGGTGGGGTTCACCCCACGAATTGTTATTGTTTTGATCATTCTGTTTGTGGTCTTAATGCGTGCGAGAATGTGCGTATGTACTCCCCCGCTCCGAAAATAGAATCTTAAACTCATCAAGATTTCCAGAAAATCTTCAATTTTACAATGATTTCGTATGATTTTTCTATTCGCTCATTTCGTCGTTAATTATTAATAATTATTACTTTGCATCTACCTAATAATGGAAGAGATCTATTGAAATATTATTCTACTGAAAATTGTGTCAATTTTACTATATTTTTAA